TCTGCATCCTTTCCTTCAAGGCTCAGGGGTCCAAGATTATCTTCTGTGTCTGTGTTAATTGGTTTCCCTTTTCTTTGTTGAAGAGGGTCTGCGCAATCCTTCTGCCTAGTCTGCCATCTTGCCCCGCCTCCTGCCTGCAAGCTTTTAAGATCCCAGTCACTACTCACCAAAGCAGGAGGTGGAACAATGTTTTGTGTAGTATGTTATGCCAATTGAGCTTGATGTCCCCTGTGACTATGGACCCAAGCCCACAGGTTCAATTACTCGCTCCCTCTGGGTAGCTGGCTGTGACCAAGAAGTGATTACAACCATGTCCCTTTGTCAGCTCTACTACACACCAGGGAATTCTTACAGAATATACAAATACACTTGTAGAACCACCGTCTGCTAACCCTGTACATGGTCTTGGGTACACGCCCCACTGCACAGATACACCTAATAGTTCAGCCTGTCCACCCACTATCCAGTTTGGTAAGTGTTTTACCATGAATGGGAATTTAAGTATTTATCAAATTAATCTACTGAGAGCCAATGAAATGTTTTACTTCTTTCACTGTTACTGTAGTGAATTATACTTTTACCTTTTCTAATGCTGAACCAACTGAGTATTCTTGGAATAAATCTGGCTATATTATTATGAGAAGCACTGTGGCACAGCAGTTAAAGTGTTAGCTTGGCTGCCAACCCAAAGATTGGTGGTTTGAATCTAATAGCAATAGGAAACTAATACACTTGTGAAGAAGTATGTTCAAATCATCTCCATCTTCATTGTTTTTTTGTCTGCTTACCTAGCAATAATTGAGAAAAGGAGGTTTTTGCTCTGAAAGGAATGTTTTCTATTTCTGAAGTTTCACCTGTTTGTTTTATATATTTCAACTTGTTTTATAATTATCTTCCTGAAGAAATAAGGCTTTTATCATTAAGGTGAATTTGTCTTATCTTATGTACACTTTCTGTGTTTGAAAGTCTATTTTATTGTATGTCAGTGTAGCTACCCTAGGTTTCTTTGGTTATCTGCCCCATATACCTTTTTCTATCCTTTTCTACTTTCCTGGTGTGTCCTTTCTTAAATGATGTGTCTCTTCTAACTACCATATAGTAACTTTTCTTAATTACCTAAATTTAGACCATTAACATGGATATGATTTCTGATAGAAATTTTGGGTTTGTTTCTCTCATCCTTGTGCTTTCTATTTTTCCTACTTTTGTTTCTTTTTGCCTTCTTGTCTTATTTTGGGAAGAGAAAGGTGAAGGAGGGAAAACTGAAATTTTTCATTAACCTGTTTTTCCTATTCTCTCCCCTAAGCCCGTATCTGTTCTTACAGTGACAGTAACTGTGTCCTGCATGCTCTTCTTTATCTCTGTCCCCTCCCCTAGGGACTCACGTGCAATGTGTGGTTTGCACCCCAGGAAGTCAGAACACTTTTTGAATTCTTATGCCTGTTTCCCACGGGCTCTTTCCTGTTGTCCAACATTATTAGTTATCCCTCCTTTCCTATTTTCACTGTACCTGCTCCTAAAGATTTTCCAAGAGTGGGAAGTAAAAAACCAAACACATTAGAATCTTTACTAAATTAGGATAAAAAGGTTCTGAATAAAAGCTTGAAGGTCCTACTACATACAGAGTTCATGGCATTTATTTTGTTTTCTTATAGCTGAGGTATCTAAATAAGAGTATCCCTTTGACAAACTTATTAGAAGAAAAGCAATAAATAGCTTTTAGAAATGGTGTATATGGTATAGTTTCCCTTCAGTTTGTTGTGCTCCTATAAGGTTAAGGAAGTAATCAAATAAAAGAAGGAAACCTAAACATAACTTGTATATCATTCTTTTAGTCAGTAAAAAACAAAGGTATCAAAAAAAGATAATTTTTCTTTCAATTCTTACTAGGGTTAGGCTGATTTAAATACAAGACATATTCTGTAGATGACTGTACTAAAAAAATATACTCCAGTAAGTAGTCTATGTTGTTGTTGTTGTTATGTACCGTCGAGTCGCACCCGACTCAAAGTGACCCCTCCTTGGGTTTCCTAGGCAGTATCACTACGGAAGTAGATTGTCCCATCTTCCTTTCGAGGAGTGGCTGGTGGGTTTGAACCACCAGGCTTCTGGTTAGCAGTCAAGTGCCTTAGCCACTATGCTACCAGAGCTCCCAAGTAGTCTATAGTGATTATGAAATTTCCACAGACGATTACTCATCTATAGAAAATAAAAAGTAGTACTGGGAAACTTTTGTCATTTGATTACTGTGGTGGTTAAGTCTGTGTGTCAACTTGGCTGGGTCTGGTTGAGTGGCTGGGCAGCTGAATGCAGTTATTCCCCACGGAGAGACTGGTAATGAACTCCACAGTGAAATCCATTGGAGCAGCTGAGTAGCTGCTTTGGGTATGTGGTTTGCTTCCCATATATAAGAAACAGCCTTGGGAATGGTCTCTAGCTTATGGCATGCCTGAACCCTTCATGTAGCTGTGTGTTGTTCAGCAGACTGTCATGCTCTGCTGACCCTGGGACTTTCAAACGGATTTGAATTAATGGCTTGCCATGTGGTTTGGTAATATCAGGACTGTGCCATTTTATTTGTCAACCTTGGGCTTGTTAGCCTTAGCAACCAGTAGCTGACTGAGAGAAGAGATGCCTCTAGCTTGAGTGGGCCAGGAGCAAGAGGCAGAGCTGAAGCCCAAGGTCGAGGGGCTTTCACCCAGCCCCTAGAGCCTGGCAGTTTGAACTTGGACTTCTAGCCTCCTGAACTGTAAGAGAATAAACTCCTGTTTGTTCAAGCTTTCCCATTTGTGGTATATTTCTGTTAGAGCGATACTAGATAACCAAAACAATTATAAAATCAGAAGATATGCCCGAATAATTTTATAAAACAACTTCTGTCTCTGCATAAAAAAATCTACCACAAAAAGAAAAATAATAAACCAAATTTAAGATTATGAATTAAAACGTACCTCTATAGTAGTCCTTTAGATTGTTGTTTATTAGCAAACTACATTCTTTTACATTGATTTTTAGTGCCCAATGCCCTTTGTCAGGCTTGTTTAAATGCTCTAATTGTAATTTAAATCATAAACTCTAGTAAAAAAAATTATAGCCTACTGAAGACATTAGCCACTGACCTGAAAATCTAACATCATGTGACTTTCTCCCCAGGATTTCATGATAGCTTTACTGTACTACTCATTATTTACTATTATAGTTTTTAAACCAGGATCTGCTAAATCATCAGACTAAATATTTCTGAAAAATATTTATTTACCCAGTTATGTGCTTTCACACAAAATACACAGGTAAATTTGCAATTAAAATGCAACAAATATGGCATACACTCCAAAACCCAAGAAACTCTCAGCCAGACCGAAGTCACTGAAATTTTCCTCGGCCAGGAGTTGAGAAGGTATTAACTAGTCACAACCTAATTCCTACCAGCTAAAGCAGCATCCTCTTCACTCTCTGAGCCATACTGAAGTGCCATGGTAATTGCCGATAAACGACCCCCTTGGACTGCTCTTTTATTACTACAAAGAAAAACAAGCAATTAGAAGACAGGAAAAGATATTATAATAATTTGGTTACTTTACAGGAAAAAGGGATTAAGAAAGCATTCATATCAAAGAAAAACATTTCTATTTAACCACCTCCTCAATTTATCTTTGTTCTTCTTAATATGTTCCATATTCAATCTTAGCTAAGATGACTGATTTTTTTTCTCTTAGAAAAACAGGGAGTGGTGAAAGAGAGCTTAGAGCAAGCTAACTACAATTTGCTTTTCACATTTACATGTAACACTATTCCTTGTTTTAAGAAAAACATGAAGTCATAGTTATTTGTAATTCTCTCCTAAGATGCTCAGAGTTTACAATGAACACAAATTCTGTTATTAACACAAAAATATGTACTTGACTACACATTTTACTGGTTAACTAACATTAAATATGGCCTGACAACTAGCTTCTATTTAAGCATTTTCTGAGCGGTGAGGTTAGGCCTATTATAGCACCTCAACTTTTAAAATAAAACGTGATAACAAATTCTTGTAATCCAACTAAACTCAGAAATATTACTTCAAGATGGCCATCAGGCAAACATTAGGATACCTAACGACATAAGAAACGGTCAGTTCTCAGAACAAACACATACTCTCTCTCACCGGTAATACTTGCTAGTGGGATTTCTCTCTTCACTAAGGCTGCCTTTACCGTGTGACGAACTCGTGAGCCTGGCTGCAGCCAAATTTGATGCAGTTCTATCCAGAGATAAGATTAAAAAAAAGATGCTTAGAAACCTGACAGCTGCAATCAGAAATAAACCCATACATCTAAAATCATTAATGCTGGATGAATGAAAAAGAACAAGGTGACAACAGTTTTCTTTCTAAATATAAATGCTTATGTATTTCTTAGTCCCTACTATGCGGCAGGCTCTGCTCCAAGACCTAAGAACTCTGCAGAAGACAGCAGACCAGGGCCTCTATTCCACAGAACTTCTGTTCACTGCAGTGACCTAAGGGTCTGGTAATGAAACAAAGGTCAGGGCCAGAAAAAACATGGAAGCAGCCAGCCAATCCTCCCATTTCGTGTAGGATGAAATGCAATCTCAGAACTAAGACTTGCTCAAAGTCATAGTCTTAGATCAAGCAAAAGCCAGAATGAGACTAGATCTCCTGATCTAAAAACTAGATTGTCCTGGCTAAAGACCCTTCTGGACAATATAATTAAACATATATACAACTGTATAATTGTATAAAGCAATTAAAATATATAGTGGTATTAAGCCTTAGAAAGATGTTTCCTTTGGTTTCCAGTTGCCATGAGTGCACTGGGTAAAGGATTACTCTCTTCAGAATCACATTATCAAGTGTAATAAAATCTTGAAACACAACACAAATCTTGTTTTCCACTGTATTGATTTCACTAGCTAGAAAATTTGGCAAATAATAGAGGCACAAGGATCTTAAACATTTTTTGAACCTACCTTATTCTAAGGCTTGACTTAGCCATTTCATGATGTTCAATTTCTGCCTTTTTCATATAAAATATTTTTTTAATTGAATTTGCATCCTGTCAAGATAAAGATTACTTGGCTTAAAAAAGGAAAAGAAAATATGGAAAGTTTAAAATGCCCGCTGTCATACACTGGGTACCTGCTAATGGTATTCCTTCTATTTGGAGTAGCTTTCCATTCAACAATCACAAAGCTACATTCCCTAACCTTTCTACAAGCTTCTAAAACATATTCACAAAGTGGTCACTAACTAAATATAGTTACAAAGCCTCCTAGCTCTTTCACAATTATTAAGTAACACACAAAGATCTAATGGTGAACAGCGAAAAAAGAAGGTGAAGCTACAATGAATTCTAGTTGTGTATACAGAACTAAAAATTGAAACAAAGATGTAACTCTAAGATTATACACTATGCAAACTAATGTAGAATTAATGTACTTGCTTAGCCTAATAGCATACTAATAATATCAAACCCAAAATTACACTTCTCTTCATAATTTGGTTTGGGAAAATAAGTAAGAAAGAATTCTTAACTGTATCAGCAAACAATATTGTACTATAAAAATTTCCTATTAAGACTAAGAATACAAATGACTTCAGAATTCCTTTCTGATTTTTAATGTTTCTTAAAAGATGGAAGATAAAAGTTTACATTAACTATAGACAGCAACTACAGGTATCTGAGTCAGCTTTCTTAGCATCTAAATGATTTTGCCCTAAAAGATCTGAGTGTCCTTTGCTAAACTGCCACTAATATATCAATTCAGAAAACGTCTACAAGCAATTATTCATTGCTGTTGCTGCTGAGTTGATTCCAACTCATAGTGACCCTGCAGAACAGAATAGAAACACCCCCATAGGGTTTCCAAGTTATCTTTATGAAAGCAGACTGCCACATCTTTTTTCCAAAGAGCAGCTGGTGGGTTCGACCCACTGACCTTGTGGTTAGCAGTTGCACCAGATATATTCAATATTCAATATCACCAGAGCTCTTTAACTATTCATTGCAGGAGTACAAAACTTCTAAAAGGGAATTGCAAAGCAATGAGACAGTCAACGTATATTTGATATTATACTATACATATCATTTTTTATGTTTATAAAGTTTAAATGTAGGGAATGAGTTAAAGTCAATTGATTTTCAAGAAAGAGGACCAAGATAATTCAATGAGGAAGGAATAGTCTTTTCAACATATGGTGCTAGGACAAATGAATACCCACCCCATGTAGAAGAATGAAATAGGACCCCTACCTCATACTATATAAAAAATTAACTCAAAATAGATCAAAGACATAAATGTAAAAGCTAAAGCTATAAAATCCTTAGAAAAAAGCATACATGAAAATCTTTATGACCTTGGATTATGCAACAGTTTCTCAGATTTGACACTTAGGCCACAAGGGAAAAAAACAGACTTCATCAAAATTAAAAGCTTTTGTGCGTCAAATGACGCTATCAAGAAAGTGAAGAGACAACCCACAGAATGGGAGAAAACAGTTGCAAATCATGTATCTCATAAGAGTCTAAGTCCAGAATATATAAAGAATTCTTACAATTCAACAATAAAAAAAAAAACACAATTTAAAAATGGGCAAAGGACTTAAACAGATATCTCTCCAGACATACACAACTAACCAATATGCACATGTAAAGATATTCAATATCACTGTCATTAGAAAAACGCAAATCAAAATCATAATAAAACACCACTTCACACACATTGGGACTGCTATGATTTAAAACAAACAGAAAACCATCAGTGTTGGTGAAGAAGATGTAGAGAAACTGTAGTCCTCATACCAGGCTGGTGGGAACATAAAATAGTGCAGCCACTATGGAAAAAAGTTTGGCAGTGTCTTAGAAAGTTAAAACATAGAGGTATTATATGACCCACCAATTTCACTCCTAGTTCGGAACTGAAGAGAGATATCCACATTAAAACTTGCACACAAATGTTCATAGTGGCATTATTCATAATAGTCATAAAGTAGAAACCACCCAAATGTGTATAAACTTATGAATGGATAAATAAAACATACTATATCTATATAATAGAGTATTATTCGGCAATAAAAATAAATGAAGTAATGATACTTGCTACAACATGGATGAACCTTGAAAACATTATGCTATGGCTAGTCACAAAAGACTACATATGCTATGATGCCATCTGCAATGAAGTGTCCAGAACAGACAAATTTATAGAGACTGTGGTTGCTTAGGGCTGGGAGGCTGGGAGAAATATGGAGAATGACTGTTAATGGACATGGAGTTTCTTTTCGGGGTGATGAAAATGTTCTAAAATTGACTGTGGTGATGGTTTTACAATTTGTTGAATATACTAAAACACATTATACACTTTAAATTGGCAAACTGTATGATACATGGATTGATTATATCTTTGTAAAAGTCTTGTGTGTTTGTGCATATATCCATATGAATTAACTGATTCTAAATTCAAGTATATACTACTATCAATGAAAACAACAAAAAACTAACCTTGAATACTTGAGAACCAGGCTCATTATAAGTTTTGGCATTTTTTGCTAGGAGATCTATATCTTTGGCCATTGCATGAATACTTTTGTAGCTTCCATTCTACAGTAAACAACAAAATACAGCAGTTCCTCTTAATGAGAGTTAATCAGTATAACCTTTAAAAAAAACTCCACATTATTTAAAATGTCACCATATTCCACGACTTTATTGCAAAGTACATATGTGAACAATACAAAGTCATTCATTCTTTTACAGATCATTACCACTGCCCATTCACAACAATGTTTTTGAGATAACAAAACTAGAGATATATTATCCTCCTAAAAATAACTTACAATGAACAAAACATCAAATAGGTAAAAGTTTTTTTTATTTAACAAATGCAGAGCATTTGCTATGGACCAAGCACTGTTTTGAGTTTCATGAGTCATTAAGGAGGGCTTAATAGTGTGAAGTAAAATCCTTTCAGTTACATGGACCACTTCAGGCAAAATAAGAAATCATCATCCAGCACAGGGGCTAACATTGTGCGAGTACCTACTATGTACCAGGCTCCCTGCTAGAGCCTTTGTACCTTAACAGTCACTCAATCCAATTTAACCCAGGGAGCCCGATACACAGTGAAACCTGTGACAGCTGAAAAGGTGACTCTGTGGGAGCTTTAGAAATAAGGACAAAAAACATGGTGACAGTAGAAAAGACTGGGGCTAAGGTAGAGGTGTTTAAAGATCTGATTTGATTTCTAGTAGTGTGAAAACATCTTCCCCTAGAGAATTGTTAGAAACCCCCAGGCTTTAGGTTCCAGGAGACTGGGTCATTCTCAGATGAAATATTAAAAAATATTACACTAAAAAACCAAAACTGTTGCTGTTGAGTTGATTCTGACTCACAGCAATCCTGTTAAGACAGAGTAGAACTGCCCCACAGTGTCTCCAAGGCTGTAGTTCTTATAGGGGCAGGTCCCTAGGTCTTCTCTCTCATGGAGCAGCTGGTAGGTTTCAACTACCAGTTAACCACTGCGACTGCAGGGTTCCTAGATGATACATTAGGGAGCTGTGGTAGTTAAGTTTGTGTTTCAACTTGGCTGGGCCTGGTTGAGTGGCTGGGCAGCTGAATGTAGTTATTCCCCATAGTGAGACTGGTAATGAACACAATGGCAGAATCTACTGGAGCAGCTGAGTAGTTGCTTTGGATATGTGGTCTGTTCCCCGTACATAAGAAACAGCTTTGGGAATGGTCTCTAGCTTATGGCACACTTGAACCCCGAATGTAGCCGTGTCGTTGTTCAGCAGCCTGCCATGCTCTGCGAATCTCGGGACTTTTAATGGACTTGAATTAATGGCCTGCCATGTGGTTTGGTAACATTGGGACTGTGCCTTTTCACTTGCCAACCTTGGGCTTGTCAGCCTCAACAGCCAGCAGCTGTCTCAGTGAAGAAAAGCTTCCAGCTTCAGTGGGCCAGGAGCCAGGAGGCAGAGCTAAAACCAAAGGCTAAGGTGCTTTCACCTAGCCCCGAGAGCCTGGCACTTTGGACTTCTAGCCTCCAAATTATAAGAATAAACTCCTGTTTGTTAAGGCCATCCTATTTGTGGCATATCCTTGTCAGAGCAGTGCTAGGTAACCAAAACAGGAGCCTATATGTTAACATTCTATGAAAATGTATCTGTGGTACCAGTAATTACTACATTGTTACTCTATACCACACTCTAATAATTTAAAATTAAGAAAAACTTTGTTCTTCCTGGCAAACCACTATGCTTTCAATCTCCTTTCTGCTTTGTCTATTGGTAGTTCCAAGAGCTTACTAATAATTCCCATTTACTAAGGCTTCGTTCCACAGGCAGTATGTCAGGTGCTTTATACACATTATCAGTGACACTCATGACTCTAAAAGTAGTGACATGATACCCAATGTACAGCAGAGAAAACAGGTAAGTCACTTGACCAAAGTGGCATAGCTAGGAAGTAGCAGAGCCAGGAAAAGAACCCAAGTCAGTCTAACTCTAAAAAATAGGTTTCTAATTTAAGGAGTTTCTGGGTGGTGCAAACAGTTAATATGCTTGACTGCTAAGTGAAAGGTTGGTGGTTTGAGTCTACCCAGAGGTGCCTCAGAAGAAAGGCCTGATGATCTACTTCAGAAAATCAGCCACTGAAAACCTTATGTGGCACAGTTCTACCCTGGTATACATGGGATCGCTATGAGCCAGAGACAACTCGATGGCAGCTAGTTTGGTATAAATTAGCTCTTCCCCCTGTACCTTTCTTAACCTTGGTAAGCTTCATGTTTAACTTAACATTTCTACTTATTTCAGTCGAAATAACTTTTTTATTTTTTTAAATAAAACACCTAATCATTCATTCACTCAGTATTTACGGAGCATCCATCTAGTCTCCAGAGGAGCAGTAACAGTGTAGGGGTTAAGAGCACAGATCTGGAGTCAGAATGCCTAGATTCAAATCCTAGCTCTTCTTACTAGTTTGTGACTTGGGCAAGTCTCTTAGCTTCTTTAGTTCTCTCACCTGTAAAATGGAAATAGTGACAATATCGACCTACTGGGGTTAATTAATTGAGGATTAATTAGCTAATACATAGAAAATCGTCAGAGCAGTGCAGGGCACACTGCAAGCCCTAATGTGAACATTAGGTCTATCATTACTGGGGCTACAGTGGGGGGAAAAGAGAACAAATCTCTATTCTTACTGCGCTTATCCTGTAACATCTGCTGTAGGTGACTTTTATTTTAAGATACCCTAAAACTATCTTGAAAGCAGGAAAAATAAACAAGAAAGCTTTTATTTACCAAATACAGCTTTCACAATTAGAAATGTCTGTGACCGATGCTTTTTAATTTTTGTTCTAAGAGCAAGATTTAGAATTTTGTTTTGCTCTCCACAGAAAAAATGGAAAAGAGACATTAAGCTGCCTCCTCCAAAGCTATACACTAACCTAATCTGTGTACATTAGATTGTTAATAACCCTTCATAGAGACACCTGCTTCACTGTTTCCCAAAAGCCCCTAAAAGAAACCACAGGCCAATCTGCCCTAAACCATATATGGTTACCTTCATACCTGTATCCTCTGGGCAATGGTCTTGAGATCTATAGGCTCCTTAATTATTGCATAATAGTCTGGATATTGCTGGAAGACAAAAACCCAGGCATGTGCAATAAGTGAAAGAATACAGCTAAGGAGAAGACAAGCAAGCACAATGTCAATCTGTTACTTATACAATCAACTGAGCAGTTTTGTGGGATTCAAGGCTAAAGACAGCTGTACAGCATGTGGTTATATATGAAGCAAAAATAATTCTGCTTTACAAAAATAGCAAACAGCATGTTGTAGGAGTTTACCCTTAGTATTTATCATTGTACAACTAATATACTACAATTTAATGTTTTCAAAAATTCTAAATTCACAGAATCATACAATTTTTAATTTAAGGTCCCAAGGCATCTCTGGAAATGAAGAAGAGAAACGTTCTTCATGGGCTTGTTATAAGCTTTTAAAAATTTTCCTGTCTAAATACGAATTATATTCTATTTCTTCAAATAATTCTTAAGGATCTAAAAGAAGTTAGGTGGCACAATTTGTAAGCTTCATGTTTAATTTAATGGTTCCACTTATACCAGTCAAAATAACTTTTGTTTAGTAAATAAAGTACCTTTTAAATGAAATTGCATTAAAGCAGTGAAACAAAATTATAACCAATTTCTGGTTTCTTATCGAATATTAGCCTGTCACAAGAAAATAAACATGTCAAAGGAATGTCCTTGAAGGATCTCATAATGCCTAGAGTGCATTACATGCCTGAGGCTTTCCTGAGGTTTTATTCTTTGGAAGAAATAACTGAAGTTAATGAAAAGTCAAAAGCTGGTGGTCAGAGAGGTGAAGACAGAATGTTCAATCCTACTGCAGCCCAAGCGACAACAACAAAAAGCAGGCACCACAGCCTTTACTCCACCACTGGGCTACGGAGATGATCTCAATGATGCATCGTCATCTCATCTGCTCCCTCAGCTTTCCCCTCTCCATTTTCCTCACCCTGGTGGCATGGTGCCTAAGGCATTTAACTGCTAACCAGAAAGCTGGTGGTGCAAATCTACCAGCCACTCCTCAGAAGGAGAACTGGGCAATCAACTTCCTTAGAGATACCACCTCGGAAACCCAAGGAGGGGTCACTGAGTCGGAATTAACTTGATAGCCATGAGGTTTTATTTTCCCTAGTTTGATAATCCTTTGTTTGGATCAAACACCTTTCCTGCCCCTTCTGCTCTTGACCAATTCTATCTCAGAAAGAGTTCAGAAGACAAATTGTGGTATGGCTGACATCCAGGAAATCAAAGCTATTGGTCCTCTGACTCTCAATTTCCCCTATTGCTCAGCCAATCACTGCCTTGTTACGTTGTCATGTGCCGTCAAGTTGGACCTGACTTACAGTGACCTTCTGCTTGGGTTTCCAAGGCAGTTGTTGTTGTTGTTGTTGTTAAGTGTCATCGAGTCATTTCCGACTCATAGCGACCCCATGCACAGCAGAACGAAACACTGCCCGATCCTGCGCCAGCCCCACAATCCCTGCTATACTTGAGCCCATCATCGCAGCCACCGTATCAATCCATCTCGTTGAAGGCCTCCCCCTCTTTCGCCGACCCTCCGCCCTACCAAGCATGACATCCTTCTCCAGGGAATGGTCCCTTCTGACAACATGACCAAAATAGGTGAGACGAAGTCTGGCCATTCTTGCTTCCAAGGAGCATTCTGGCTGCACTTCCTCCAGGACAGATCTGTTAGTTCTTTTAGCAGTCCACGGTACTTTCAGCATTCTTCGCCAGCACCACAACTCAAAAGCATCAACTCTTCTTCGGTCTTCCTTATTCATTGTCCAGCTCTCACATGCATATGAGGCGACTGGAAATATCATGGCTTGTGTCAGGTGCACCTTAGACCTCAAGGAGATATCCTTGCTCTTCAGCACTTGATACAGTTCCTTCGCAGTTGACTTTCCCAATGCTACACGTTGTCTAATGTCCTGACTGCTGCTACCGTTGGCATCGACTGTAGAACAAAGCAACGTGAATTCCTTGACAACCTCAATTTTCTCTCCATTTATCGTGATGCTGCTCATTGGTCCAGTTGTGAGTATTTTTGTTTTCTTTATATTGAGACGTAATCCATACTGCAGACTGTATTCTTCAACTTTCATCAGTAGGTGCCTTAAGTCATCCTCACTTTCAGCAAGCAAAGTTGTATCGTCTGCATATTTCAGGTTGTTAATGATTCTTCCTCCAATCCTGATACCACGTTTTTCTTCATATAGTCCAGCTTCTCAGATTATTTGCTCAGCATATAGATTGAATAAGTGTGGAGAAAGGATACAACCCTAACGCACTCCCTTCTTGATTTTAAACCATGTAGTGTCCCCTTGTTCTGTTCGAATGACAGCCTCCTGGTCAAGGTACAGATTCCTCATGAGTACAATCAAGTGCTCGGGTCCAAGGCAATATCACTATGGAGGCAGACTGCCCCACCTTCCTTCCGGATGGGTGGCTGGTAGGTTTGAACCACCAGCCTTCTGATTAGCAGTCAAGTGCCTTAGGCACTATGCTACCAGAGCTCACTGCCTAGGAATGACTTAATCAGGAAAGATTAAAACTGCCCTCTCCCTCTAGGTCTCAACCCTTATTTTCTGAAGGACCAATGGGAACCTGCCTTTGCTAATCAATTCCTGCTTCATGGTGTCCTAGAAGGCCCTCCTGGAATGGAGGAACCAGATACAGATTTTTATTGTTTTGTGGCTTGCACACCACTGATTCTCTCCTGCAGAGTAAGAATAAGTCCTAAATAAAGACTTCTCTTTTCTTATAATTTAAAATCTTATGACCATCAGAATCATTATTTATCTCTAATCAGATACACCCCCAGGAGAGCAGTGGTCATATGCTTTATTTCTAATGTTGTAACTGTCCTGCAAGCAGTCAGGACACACTTTTAACTGAAGGGGAAAGCTGAATGCCACTCATCATGTAACACGCATTCATATACACCTATTACGTGCTGGGCTCAATTATACGGCAGGGACACAATGGTAAATGTGGCAAGGTTCCTGTCGTCAAGAAATTCAGGGGCTAGAGAAGGAGGAAGATAGAAAAGTAAATTATCTTGAGGGCTTCAGACCATACTGTTGGGGAACATCTAGATCCATGGCATAACACAGTTCATAAAGATAATGTTTTATATCCTACTTCAGTGAGTAGTGACTGGGGTCTTAAAAACTTGTGAACACCCATCTAAGGTGCAGCTACTGGTGTCTTCCTGTCCAGAGCAAAGAAGAGTGAAGAAAATCAAAGCCACAAGGAAACAGTCCAAAGGACTAATGCACCACGTGAACCCCAGTCTCATGGAGCCTGAGACAAAAAAACTAGATGGTACCCAGATACTACTACTGACCGCTGTGATCGGTTATCACAATAGAAGGTCCTGTACAGAGTGGGAGCAAAATATAGAACAAAACTCAAAATCATAAAAAAGACCAGACTGAGAGATTGGTGGAATCCCCAAGACTATGGTCTTTAGACACTCTTCAAATCTGGACCTGAACCCACTCCTGGAGATCACCTTTTAGCCAAACAATAGATAGGTCTATCAATAATGCCTGCGAAGAATGTGCTCCTCAGAACAATCAACCATATGAGATCAAAAGGGCATCGTTTGTCCGAAAAACAAAGCTAAGAAGGCAGAAGGGGCATAAAAGATAGGTGAATAGAAACTGGGAACCAAGGGAGGAAGTGAGAAGAGTGCTGTTAAATCCACGGGATAGTAACTAATGTCACAAAACAAAATGTGTATAAATTGCTGAATGGGAAACTAACTTGCTTTGTAACCTTTTACCCAAACCACAATAAAATGTTTTGTTTTGTTTTGCTTCTTAAAGCCACCAAAAAAGAACAAGCTCTTCAAAAAGAGCAAAGTCTAACAGAGGACATAAGTGTACAAATTAAACTGTAAAAATAGACTGTACATTAAAAAAAGAAAAACAAAAAAAACCACCCCACCTATGGGCCAGTTCTATTGTCATATGGGTTGCATGAGTTGAAATTAACTTGACAGCAGCTAATAACCACTACATTGGGAAGTTGTGATGATTAAGTGAGCAATTTGTATGAAGCACTAAATCCAGTGCCTAGTACACAGTAAAGAGCATGTAAATGTTGGTTATAATATGGCTAAGTTCAAAACCGTGTATTTTCTTGAAATTTTAGGTAATATAATAACTCATATTCCAACTACTACAATATCCTTTAAAACCCAATTGTTAACTCAAAAGTAGGGAAATAAACATAGTTGCCTTTTTACAGGCAGAGACAACCATAGATAAGAAAGGATATAGAATAGTGCATGTACAAAAAAATAAAAAAAGAAAATGATTATAATGTAGTTAAGTGCAACCATGCAGTACTTCAGAAAGTATAACCTTGTCTAGAAATATAAGAATGATGAAACTACAGAAATTTTTGCAGTTTCACTAGCTAAAGTGAATCAAACCTAGAGTTATGTTAGCTGCTTCTTCAGTGTGAAGCTGTAAGGGGCCATGCCACTTTTAAAGGGTCTCACATGTCCAGAAAACCTCTTCCTTACTGGAGCAGAAGAGTACCTAATTTGTCTCCCTCTCTTCCTCATCACCAAGAGATTTAGAAGAATGAAGAGAAGAAGAACTCATTTCTCTTCCTCTCACTCTGTCCTCCAAGCAAGGAGAGCTTCTTCTCTTTTACAAATTAAATATTTAGTATAGATGCTTATTTTACTGTGTAAGAATTACCAATAAAAAAACCCCCACAAAAACACAAATTAAAAAAACAAACTCACATCCTCCTGGACAAGTAAATGAAACAAAATATCTTTTGCGCTTGCTGCTGAGGTCACAAAGAGGCTCTCTTGGCTGCATCTAATGCCTTCCTTGAACCTTACTTTACTTACTAAGAACTGATGAAAACTTTGAAGTACTTAAAAAAAATACTTTATTTAATTCACCTCTCTTCAGTTGTATCACTTACCACTTTAGAAGGCAGTTTCTGAAAAAGTTCACTAATGAGATGTCCTGATGGATTTGTGGCTACAACTATGGCTTCAAGAAGCTGCTCGAGGATCTCCTTCAAGTAACTTGGAGAAGACTTGGAGGGAAGAGAAAGGAAGAGGAAAAAATTTACTTTGTGAGAGAACTTGAAAAATAAATGCTTGAATATTAAATAGCTCCTAAAACTGTGAAGCTAATTCAAAATCATGAAAAAGCACCAGTCACAGAAAGAGCTAGAGAGAGCAGGCCCTAAGCAGAGAGAACAAATACAAAGTTCTAGAAGCAGGAACACACTTGGCATGTTTTAGGAATAGTGACCAGTTCAGCCTACAAAAATATTTCTAACTAAGGTGATTCCACTGCCTCTCTAACTTTGATCACAACACAACCTTTACATACTGTCTTAATACAGCAATACTGGACCAGTCCTTGATAATGTGAAGATACTCTTTAAAACAAAACCAAAAACCAAACCCACACTGCCACTGAGTCGATTCCAACTCATAGTGACCCCACAGGAGAGAGAAGAACTGCCCTAAAGAGTCTCCAAGGCTGTAAATTTTTATGGAAACAGACTGTCTAATCTATTGCCTGTGGAGCAGCTGGTAGGTATGAACTGCTGGCCTTTTGGTTAGCAGCCAAATGCCTTATACCAGTGTGCCAGCAGAGCTCTTTTCTCTTTTAAAAAAAAACTCAATGCCGTCAAGTTGGATCTGATGCACAGCAACCCCTCCGTGGGTTTCTGAGGAGGTATGACTATGGAAGTAGATTGCCCAATCTTTCGTGAGAGTTCATAAAACCACCACACATGGCACACATTATTCAGGTTGTCCCAGGCTCATTTGTAATTGGGGTGGGACTCTCTGGCCACATGCATGCTTACCTTTCCATTTCCTAATACAACTATACAGGAAGCCCAGCTGCTCGTAACAGCTGAGACAACCACAGACAGGGGACCTACCCACCTACTTCCCACAAAGCCCACCCCGTCACAGGTTCCAGCTGCGCACTTACTCCATCGGTCACTGTCCCTTGATTGTCTTGCCCATCTTCATCATCATCTTCATCATCTGCTTCTCCTTTCTGAACAAACTCATTTCTTGTTCGAAGGTACAAATCCCAGAGTTTGCAAGCAGCTTTATATTCAGGAGAATCTGGCTATACATTGCCAAAGAGAATAGGTAAAAAAAATAGCACTTCAGTATTTTTGTTGTATATCAACTGTAATTACTTTTAAAGCACCCTGTTCCAGCAGAAACATGCATTCTAAGATATAATTTTGAAAACTGATTTATAAATTTAACAATCCTTATAAATTCAACAATCCTTATGTGCCACCCTGGTGGCACAATGGTTAAGAGATCAGCTGCTAACTGAAAGGTCAGCGGTTCGAATCAGCAACAGCTCTGTGGGAAAAAGATCTGGTGATCTGTTCCTGTAAAGATTACATACAGCCTAGGAAACCCTATGGGGCACGTCTACTCTGTCTTGAGAATCAACTCAGTGACACAAAACAACAACAGCTGAAGGATGCATGGGCTTCAATTTCCCTTTTGAGAAATTAAGTGCATGTTTTAAAGACATTCTGAAATTATTCTACTTATTTATACTCTCCTTACAGAAAGACTTCAGGCAGAAGGCAAATGGTTTGCTAAATTAAGGCTAATTATTAATAAAATGCTAATAAAAACAATTTAAAAATTAGAAATCTAAACGACAGACACTGATGCTGATTCTGATATTATTTCTATTTTTTAACTATTTAATACCTATGTGAAAACTTCTTTTCCTAAAATATACTGGGCGTGAACTATGACTGAACTTTTCTATTAAAAACAATGTTAATGCAATGTTAAAACAAAACAAAACAAAACAAAAGTTTAAAATGTATCCACAGGCTGCCAATAAGGAGAAAGGAATGTTCATAAAGCAAAAGTATAGAGTAAAAGTAGAAATCCAGAAGAGTAAACAAAACCCTGAAGCAACGTTCACCTTCAGGGCCATTCTAAGACAAGCTAAACTTATGCTTCACTTCCAAGGCCCCTTGAGGCTGCAATTGTTAGGAAATCCAATAATTCTCAAATTATACAAATAAAAAGATATCCATATTTAGATATATCACAGTAAAACTGTAAATACAAAAGACAAAAAGAAGGTAATAAGGTAGCCAAAAAGAAAAGGCAGATGACCTTCAAAGGAGCTACAAAAAGACTCTAACAGATGACTTATTAACAGCAATGAACAAATGAAGAAAAAGTAGTACATTTGTGAGCAAACTTAAATATCAATTTGCTAATAGTACTGTTGCAGGGAATTAAAAAATTGCCCCAATAGAACTAAAATACGTAACACACCAGGAAGGTAACAAAAGAAAAGGTAATCAAACTGGAATTATTCTAAGGACTTTGCATGGTTTGGAAGGAGTGTTAAGGAGCTGATTAACTTTTAACTTTGATAAGTTACTATGTATATTAAAACTTCCTAGTTAAGAACTAAAATATTATCAATAAATCTTACAACTTCCAAATGAGTAGAGAGAGTAAGAGGGATAAAAAAATAACCACAAAAGAAGGCAAAGAGAAAAACAAAATAACAACATAAAAAAGTGAGACCGACAGAAAGCAAAAATTCAGATGGCAGGAATATATCCTAATATAATGGTAATTACTAAAATAGTAAAGAAATGATACGCTCTTGTTAAAAGGTAAAAATCACCAGATTAATAGAAACTGATGTTGTTTAGAAGAGATCTATTTACATTAAAAGCATATGAAAAGATGGAAAGTATAAGAAAAAAAGAAGCTAGGTAAACACCAGAATAAAGCTGGTATGGCTATGTTACTATCAGACCAACAGATTTTAAAAGAGAGGACTTTACCAGTGTCGAAGAGGGTGACTACATACTGCTAAAACAGTTCAATTTACTAGGACAATAAAATAATTTCTAATGTGTATGCTCCTATTTGCATAGTCTTAAAATTCGTAGAGCAAAATTCAACAGATTTATAAAGAGAAGTGACACTCAGCAGAGTGAGATTTTTTTTAAAGTACCTCGCATACAGTAAGTGATAGTTCACGCAGATAAATCAGTAAGGATATAAAGATATTAAATCAACTTCAATTGAGTTGATTCTGACTCACTGTGACCCTACAGGACAGAGTGGAACTGCCCCACAGGGTTTCCAAGGCTGTAATCTTTATGGAAGAAGTAGACTGTCTATCAACTGGTGAATAGATAAACAAAATGTAGTATATCTATAAAATGGAATATTATTCAGCCATAAAAAGAAATGAAATACTGATACATGCCAACAATGAATAAACCTTGAAAATATTATGGTGCGTGAGAGGCCAGATCCAAAACAACACATATTAAATGTTTTCATTTATATAAAATGTCCAAAACAGATAAATTCATAGACAGAAAGTAGACTATGGTTGCCAGAGGCAGGGAAAAGGGGTAACAAAGAGTACCTGATAATGGGTATGGGGTTTCTTTTTGGGGTGATAAAAATATCCTGTAATTAGTGGTGATGGTTGTACAACTTTTTGAATATACTTAAAAAAAAACCACACCATGTTATACACTTTTGAAGAGTATATGAATTACATACACACACACAGTATTAACAGTAGATGTAAGAACATATTTACAGAATCTTTATGAAAAACCATTTAAAGCATTACTAAAATACATTAGAGAATACATAAATAAATGAAGACATGCCAAATTCATAGATCAGAAGTCAATACCTTAATTACATCACTTCTCCTCAGTATGATCTACAAAGTAATACCAAATACTTTTACTGTGCTTGTTGAACTTAAAATACTACTAATTCTAAAATGTGTAAGGGAAAGCAAAGGGCCAAGAATACTCAAGATGCTTTGCTTACCAGATAAAAAATGATAAAGCCACAGTGATTAAGATAGAAATATAATGGCCCAGTAATAAACTAGCCAGTGGCCCAGAAACAGACCCATGAACACCTGGAAACAGTAACAACTCTGATACTGTGACAGATGGGGAAAGGATGGCCATGTCAGGGTACTGATTACATTACTGGGGGTGGGTGTATCTAGAACCCTACCTCACAAAAGACAAAAACCAATTTCAGCTGCTTAAAGACTTATATGTGAAACATGAAATTATAAAACTTTCAGAAGAAAATTAAAAATATTTTTATAAACCTTAAGCAAGAGGATTTTCTGAAGCAACCTACCAAAAAGGATAATCCACAAAGTAAAAGACTGGTCAATTTAATTATTGAAATAAAATAAAAGTCTGTTCATTAAAACAAAACAAAACAAAAGTTTAAAATGCATCCACAGGCTGCCAATAAGGAGGAAGGAATGCTCATAAAGCAAAAATAGAGAGTAAACACAGAAACCCAGAATAGTAAATAAAACCCTGAAGCGATGTTCACCTTCAGGGCCATTCTAAGACAAACTAAACTTAAGCTTCAGTTCCAAGGCCACTGCCATCAAGTTAATTCTGATTCATAGCAATCCTATAGAACAGAGTAGAACTGTCTTACAGGGTTTCCAAGGCTGTAATCTTTATGGAAGCAGACTGCCTCATCTTTCTCCTATGGAGAGGCTAGTGGATTTGAACTGCCAACCTTCTGGTCAATAGCCAAATACCTTAACCACTACACCACCAGAGCTCCTTATTCATCAACACACACACACTCATTCTCTCTCTCTCTCTCAAAGGTGTTAAGACAACCACACAAGAAGATATTTGCAACATAATCAAAAAAGGGTGTCAAGAATATATAAAAATTTCTATAAATAAATAAAATTTCTATAAATAAAATGACAAACCCAAGAGGAAAAATAGGCAAAATATGTGAGCAGATATCTCACAGAAGGAATAAACAAGAATGGCTCATAATCACATGAATGTTCAGCTTTTACTAACAAAAGAAAAGCAAACTCAAACCGTAGCAAGATACCACTACTCACCCACCAGATAAACATTTGAGAGCTAGACAATATCAAATTTTGGTGAAGGTGTGGAGACCTTCCAAATTTTATATTCTCTTACCTTATAATAGGCCTTTGCATTATTAAAAAGCAGCTGGAAGTCAGCAGTCAGCAGATTAACATCATCATACTCTTCCATTTTTAGTTTCTGTTGGATCTTCATCAAGTCAATAGGCTGAGAAACAACTTCATAATAGTCCGGTTGATTTCTGTTACAATTTAAATGTATTTTTAGATGATATTAATCTAAAGCCTGTAAAATGTTGTATTTCAAAACTATCTGGGGTAATCGCCCACATTCCAAGTGACTTGAGCATATGAGAATTTATCGCCAGACTCATGCTCATTACAAGTTAAAGAGAATATCAAAAGCAAATGCATCTGTTTCCTTTCCAAAGTAAGTAACAATGGTATAAACACCTAAATTAATGTCTGTGATGGTCTTTTATATATCAGATATTTAAGGTTTAGGGTACCATCTCTAAATCCATGCCACTGATATCATGCAAATGAAGATGGTATTTAATAGTGGCTGAAAACAGATTCATGTTTCAAAAGCTCTTTACAAATTTACAAAATGGATTGTTAGAGACCGCAGAACCTTTTTCTGTAAAGTACTTTCAAGTGCCTATTATATATTGTTGTCATGTTGGTTCAGACTCACAGTGACCCATGTACAACAGAACAAAATACTGCCTAGTCCTTTGCCATCCTTACAATTGTTGTCATGTCTAAGCCCACTGTTATAGCCACTGGGTCAATCCATCTTACTGAGAGTCTTCCTCTTTTTTGCTGACCCTCTACTTTATTAAGCATAAAGTCCTTCTCCAGGAACTGGTCCCTCTGATAACATGCCCAAAATACCTGAGACAAAGTCTCATCATCCTCACTTCTAACGAACCTCTTGCCTGGCCTATTATATACAACCATACCTTAGAGATATTGTGGGTTTGTTTTCAGACTACTGAAGTAAAGCAAATATCACAATAAAGCAAGTCACATGAATTTTTTGGTTTCCCAGTGCATTTAAAAGTTTTGTTTACACTATATTGTAGTCTGTAAGTGAGCAACATCATTATGAAAAAGTCTGAAATACTGAGAGAATTACCAAAATGACACAAAGAGAGCACATGCCAGAGGGAAAATGGCACCAACAGACTTGCTTGATGCAGGGTTGTCACAAACCTTCAATTTGTAAGAAACGCAATATTTGCAAAGTACAATAAAGTGAGGTATGTTTGTATATAGTTTTAATACCTATTTCTAAAGCTGAAAAGAGAAAGATGAGGTTCCTGGCTTCAAGGAGCTTACCAAAGACAAAAAGACACTTCACATTCAAACTTGACCAAACTATTAAACCAACTACAAAAGTCCAGATAATGGTTTACGTCTTAGAAGGGAGGGAAAGACTGAATGAGGGACACAAAGGAAACTTCAAAAGTAGTTATAAGTTTACAGAGCAAATTCACTTTCCATAAAGCAGCTCACATATACTTTGTCTCAGGACATTGACTGCAATTTCCCACAATGCAACAGCTCCCTTCCCACTTCCTCCCTATAGTCACCTCTCCCCTGTGTCCTTCCCTCCCATGAATAATTTCTTCCATTGGGTTCATGGATATTTATTTTTATTCCTTTCAGCTTTTTTGAATTGGGCTTCCACAGGAGAAGTAAACCTCTCAAAAATTACCTGTTTTCTTAATTCTATCACAGGGGTTGGTAGTTAGCTCTATTACAGATGCATAAGAGACAAGTATCACATACAAAGAATATCTTGCTCAGTAAGGCTTTATTATTTCCTGGAACCTTAGTTGAGAAAGGCTACAACACACATGTTGTTTCTTTTGATATATATATTTAGTATTTTTTCACTTTTTATTCTGCTGTAAAAGTTTCAAGAATATTACAAAGAACTTTTTTCTGAATGATGTGAAATAAGCTGCTGTCACAATGTCCCATCATCCTTGAAAAATTTAATGTATAGTTCCTATAAACAAGGACATTCCCCTTCATAAACACAACTCAACCATAAAAATCAGGAAATTAACTGTGATATAGTACCCACATCTAATCCTCAGACACCATTCATGTTTTACCAACACTCCCCAAAATGCTCTTTATATCAAAAGAATCAAAGTCCAGAATCACATGTTGCCCTTAGTTATGTCTCTTTAGTCTCCTTCAATCCGTTAATAATTCCTTAGTCCTTCAGTTTTCATGATTTTGACACTTTTGAAGATTGCAGGCCAGTTATTTTGTGGAAGGTCCTTCAATTTACATTTGTATGCTTTCCTCATGAATTAATTCAGGTGAGGTTTCTCTGGCAGGGTTCTCACAGCAATGATGCTACAGTTATCACTGTATCCTATCAAGTGGTATATGATTTAGACTTGGCCCACTACTTACATGTTTACTTTGATTATTTTACTATGGTGGTAGCTGCCAGGTTTCCCCACTGACCAAGTTCTCTTTTTCTCTTAGTACTTTATGGGTAACTATCTTTAGATCGTGTATAAGCCCATTCTTCATCAAACTTGCAACTTAATTTTTAATTTTCATCAGTATGGAATAATGGATTACTATCTTTTTTAATGGAGTTAAAAATATTTATTACAATGATTTTGATGTTCAAAATGCTCCAGATTTGGCCAGTAGTAGCCCCTTCAAACTGGCTTCTATGTTCTTTTGAGGTATTCCCATTACACTTTGAGCTCTTGCTATTTTCTGGCATGATGTTAAAGGCTCATTTTGTACTTTGTGTGACCCAGCCCTTGAAATAAGCTATTTCCCAAGGTACTCTGGTTCATTTTAGTGGTGAATGGTATTCAAAAATAAGATCTAGGTGTCAGATGTACTCATTTCTACTTAAGTGTTGCTGCCCCCAGGCTGTTTCAGTGGATGGCCCTAGAAAATACACATTTTACATCTACATTTATTTCTATTTATCTACACATACTGGAAACCATGAATTCACACACAGTCAAACAGGAAAGTACACACACCAAATATCTCCAACTCCAATCTAACCACCACAGCACTCATTCTACTTTCCTCCCTTTCTGTATTTGAATCTTTCTTCTCAAACAGTGGGTCTCACGGTAGTGCAAATGGCTAATGTGCCCGGCTGCTAACCGAAATGTTGGATGTTCAAGTGAGCCTTGAGGCATCTTAGAAGAAAGGCCTGGTTATCCACTTCCAAACAATCAGCCACAGAAAATCCTATAAAGCAAAGTTCTACTCTGACACGCATGGGGTCACCATGAGCTGGAATCAAATTTGATGGCAATTGGTTTGGCGTTCCTAGGTGGTGCAAATGATTAACACATTTGGCTGCTAACCAAAAGGTTAAAGGTTCAAATCTACCCAGAAGCACCTCAGAAGAAAGGCCTGGTGATCTACTTCCAAGAAAACCAGCCACTGAAAATTCTATGGAGCACAGTTCTACTGACATGGGGTTGCCACAAGTCAGAATCAACTCGATGGCAAGGCCCCCTCCACCCGCCCTACCAAATATTTTATAGAAGCCTGGCTCTCATTATCCACTGAAGCTCTCCTCCATCCTGTACAGACACCCTTGTCACCAGGCTCTGCCCTTGCATGCTAGGCCATCCCATGTGATGCCTCCCTTACTCCAATCAAGTTCTGACATCCCATGATAGGCCACTGGCAGCCACCATCTTGCCCTGCATGGATGTACTCCTTCCAACATTTAGGTTCCAACCCTCTGTGCCAAGAAATCCTCCTACATGAATGCCCTTCTTTTTAAGAATTTTCACTTGATTTATTTATTTTGAACATTTTCTTGTGCTTTAGGTGAAAGTTTACACAGAAATTAGTTTTCCCTTCAATAGTTTATATACAAATTGTTCTGTAATGTTGGTTGTGATCCCTGCAATGTGTCAGCCTCTATTTCCACCCTAGGTTCCCTGTTTCCATTTGTTCAGTTCCCCTGCCCCTCTCTACTTTATCTTTACTTTTGGGCAGATGTTGTTTTTTTGGTCTTTTACAGTTGATTGTTCTAAGGAGCACATTCCTCCTGGAGGTTGCTGTTCATTTTACGGGCCAGTCTATTATTTGGCTAAAAGGTGGTCTCTGGGACCAATACCCTCTTTGCCCTGCTTAGGCTCTGGCATCATTTACCTGACAATGCTGTTGTCTTCAGGAAAGGAAAAGGAAAAATAAATCTAATTTTTTTAAAAACCCGTACTTCATGACTTTAATAACTATAAAAGTAAATATGAGGAAAAATCATAAGAACATAAAAAGCCTCAGTGGAGAACAATAAGGACCATCCAGGCTTAATATTGATGTCTGCTGGTAGCACCAAGGGACTTTCTCAGAGTGAGCATTAAATGGACTTTGCTAACTTGATATGCAAGATGGGCCTCTTCACGAGGCCTGCTAGGCCACAGTCCACAGTTCCTTGCTGAGGATGGACTTTAACAGCCTCTCGGGTTTGGAAGAGAATCTGTAGACAACTGAGATCCAGTGAGGATGTTTGCCTAGAGAGGATGCTAGAGGGCTCCCACAAACATTTCCAGATTAACACACAGATTGAAGGAAGAATAGGGCCCAACATTCCATGCTGAACAGCAAAACCCAACAGGGTCATCCCACTTTCAAGATGAGATAGCTCTACTGATATTTTCCTACTGAAGTCAAACAGGAAAGTACGCGCACCAAAAATAGTAAAATTATCCCTATCACCCAGATTTAATAGCACTATTAGTATTTTTATACATATTCTTTTAGGCTTCTCTCCATGAACACAAGCACACACACACATAAAAATTTAACATATACAGGACTGTGCAAACACATCTTTCATGAGTACTTTTCTCTTTGAATGATAGGGAAAGAGTCCCCTGCCATGAAAATGGTTGCAAAATAGCCAAAGCACAACTAAAAGTCTTAACCAGAAAAGTTTAGGATGAGAGAACACCAGGTCTCCTGTGTAGAGGCTGCTGGCTGCTCTCAAATCCACTCTCCTTTCTTCCCAGGCCTATGGCATTCTCAGCTGCTGTATGGCTAATAAAGACTGTAACCTCTCCAATCTTGCTGCAGTTAGGTACAGCCAACATAAGAGGTGAAGTGTACCATGTCCAAGTCACATCCTGAAGCATGTCTTCTTTTGTCTACTGGATGGAAGGTGGTATGCCATCTCAGACCATGCAGACAAGGGTGATAACCCAAGGGTAGTGGAATAAAGAAACACAGTACCTCTTCACAAAACAGGCCTTTTACATGAAAGAGATTTTTCTCGTTTCAGCCATTGTTCACACAGGTATCTTTGTATAAGCAGACTAATATACTAACCAAAACAAAATCTCAAAAAAGATTCAAAACCGTGTAGCTCAAGCAACACTATTTCCTACAAACACTTGAGAGAACAATGTATTCCACTGAGAAAGGGCAGAGGTGCCCTCAGGATCCTGGAGAAGGTAGCGCATCTTCATGCTTGGAAGACAACAGTGCTCCAGTAACCAAGGCCTGTCCTCAATGCCCCTCAGCACCAGCCTGCTTGTGGAAAGGAGGCATCAGGGGGTCAGTGCTCCTGATGATGGTACAGCAGGAACAGTTCCAGGATGCTGCTTCTCCTTTATACAGCATATTAAGGAAGAAAACTGGCTTTGGTGTTGGAAAGACCAGAGTCTGAATTCTGATTATCTTTTACCAATTCTGAGAACCTATCCAAGTCCTGATCCATAAACCATGAAAATACTACTTCATGGAGTTAAACAAGATATGTCTGAAAAGTGTTCGGCACATTGTCTAGCATGTGATAAAGAATAAATATAGACTTTTATTATTACATGCTAATTAAATAAAATTTCTTTTAGAAGTCTGCTATTAATAAGTCAACTCAAATCTAGAGAGAGCTATATCTCATTTGAAAAGGATCTCTTATTACCGTAAAATGATACAACCACTGTGGAAAGCACTATGGCGATTCCTTAAAAAGCTGGAATTAGAAATACCATTTGACCCAGCAATCCCAATACTAGGTATATATCCTAAAGAAGTGATAGCCAGGAGAAGAATAGATATATGCACACCCATATTCATCGCAGTATATTTACAATAGCAAAAAGATGGAAACAACATAGGTGCCCATCAACAGAAGAATGGATAACTAAACTATGGTACATACACACAATGGAATACTTAAAGAATAATGCAGAATCTGCAAAACATCACATAATATGGATAACTTGGAGGATATTATGCTGAGTGAAATAAGTCAACCACAGAAAGACAAATATTGTACTAGTTCATTATTGTAAAAGTCAAGGAAAGATTTATATACAGAAGGAAACTTTCTTGGTTATCAGGGATGGAAGGGGAAGGGAGGGAACATTGGGGAAGAAAAAGAATACTGTAGAATCTACAACATGGATGGACTTGGAGGAAGTTACGCTGAGTGAAATAAGTCAACCACAGAAAGACAAATATTATATTATGTCATTGTAAAAAGTCAAGGAAAGGTTATATATGGAAGGAAACTTTCTTTATTGGTTACCAGGGGTGGGAGGGAACCGGAGGGAACACTGCAAAAAAAAAAAAAAACAAAAGAAAGACCCCTTCTTTTTTGGTCATGACTGATTTGCAGAGTGCTCCTAATTAAGGATGGTGACATCACATTTCTGGTGGCTATGCTCTTTGAGGTGAGATGTTTGTGTTCAGTTCAACCTGGAGCTTATTAGCTTGCCCACTGTGGTATCAGTAATCATAAAGGGATCTAAATCTTACACTCATTGTGTTAGTTTCCCACTGCTGCTGTGACAAATTACTACAAACTCAGTAATAGCTTAAAACAACACAAACTATCTTATGGTCCTGAAGGTCAGAAGTCTGAAATGGGTCTCACAGCACTAAAATCAAGGTGTTGGCAGGACTGCATTCCTTCCCAATGTTCTAAGTTTCCTTCCCAATGTTCTAAGGGAGAATCCATATCCTTGCCTTTTCCAGCTTCCTTGTATTCCTTGGGTTAGCCCATCTTCAAAGCAAGCCACATAGCACCTTCAAATCTGACTCTTTTGCCTTCCTTTTCCCCATTTAAGGACCCTTGTGATTACACTGGGATCTCCTGGATCACCTCCAGCTGCAGGTATTCTGATTAGCAAACTTAACTGCCCTTTGACAAGCAATCTAACATATTCACAAGTTCTATGGAACAGAGAAAGGCACTCTGAAGGCATAGTGCCTAAGGCATCTGACTGCTAACCAGAAGGTTAGTGGTTCAAAACCAACAGCCCCTCCACAGAAGGAAAATCAGGCAATCTACTTCCATAAAGGTTAACAGCCTTGGAAACCCAAAGGGAGCCGCTATGAGTTGGAATCAACTTGACAGCAGCGAGTTTGCTTTGTTTTTGATATGGAGCAGAGAACAGAGATATATTTGGAGGACCATTCTCCTGCCTGCCACACCCATATATGTTTTCAGAACACATGACACAATTGCCAGGGTTTTCAAGGGAACAGTGATACTAACAGTGAGAAAGGAAAGATGCTCTCAACAGGAACATAGCCTCCATAAGGAAGTGTGTATGAAGTGCATACGGGGGTCAGCAATTTGCTTGGTTGGTTGGAACACAGAAGCAAAGCCCAAAAGAGGGAGGGAAAAAGAGTTAGAAAGCAAGGTGAAAATAAATCACTGTGGCAGAGTTTTGAAAAACTTCCCTTTTAACAATGACCGCTACAACTTTAAGGAGCTCTGGTGGCATAGTGCCTAAGGTACGTGACTTCTAACCAGAAGGCTGGCGAGTCAAATCCACTAGCCACTCTGCAGAAGGAAGACTGGGCAATCTACTTCTGTAAAGATTTCCCCTCGGAAACCCAATGGAAGTTGCTTTGAGTTGGAATCAACTCAATGGCAGTGGGTTTGTTTTTTTGGCTACAACTTTATTGCTATCTTAAAGGCCATAAACAATTTTTAAAAATACGCTTCTCTCCATCTTGACAATGAAGGCTAACATCTGGACCCCAGAATCATTTAAGCCACTCCTTCCAAAGAAAAACTGAATTGCCAAGCACTTTAAACATGGACCTTGGATCAAATCCCTCCATGTCGCTGATGTGCTTCCAACTCACCTTCGCTTTGGCGCCCTAATGAAGAGCTCACAGAGGAGCCGGCCTTGCTCATCTTTATAGTCTCGGATGGTATTGTAGAGTTCATGGCACACAGCAATCTACACACAGGATATGAGGAAAAAAACACCGAAAAAGTGAACAGAAAGCCAGTACAGGTGTAAGAATTACTAACTAGTCTTCAATAAACACATAGTCATAAAAAGCAAGCAGAGAAGAAAAAGGACAAATTAAAAAAAAAAAAAAAAAACTACAATACACAGGAACCTGAGTCTGAAATATGCTGACAGCATCTCTTATTTAAAATAATCTAATTGATTACATTTTTTGGTACCTTTTATCAAATTCATGTGATCAGTGACTTTTTTTTTCTTTTAAGCTAATCAGTTCACATCACTTTCTTGCTTAAAATCATCTTAAAGAAGGATTACATGGATAACAAAATCAAAACTCCTGTCAATGCTTATAAAGGCCCTACGTGCTCTGGCAGTAGACCTTTCCAGTCTTCTCCTCTTCCTGTAATCATGACACACCAAACCTGGTCTTCACATACACCCTGTGCCTGGAACTCTTCTCTAGGACTCTGCAGGGTTGGTGCCTATTGCTGTTCATTCAAAGAAGCCTTTCCTGAAGACACTAACTAAAACAGCCCCCAATTACCCAAACTTATCTTCTTAGCACTTATCACTAACTGAAAATACTTTTATTAATTTGTTCACTTGTTTATATTCTGATTCCTCCACACTAAAACCTAAGGTCATGTGAGAAAAAAACTAGTCTTATACATGGCTACAGTCTAACCACTAGAACAGTACTTAGCACATGACAAGCATGCAATTATTTCATGAATGAATATATGATAAGACATGCTCATATTCTTCTTTACTTCATAATACTGAATTACATTATTACTGTAGTTTTGGTTGAATGTGTACTTTTCATAAAAGAACAGTTAAGAAAATCAAGCAAAGGGAAAAGGAAGTAGAAAGGTCTTGCATTTTAACCACTAGCATTAAAAGAAGAACAAGGAATCATGGGAAAAGCTGGCAGAAACTGTGTGATCCAAGTTACTCACAGGATCTACAGTTGGAAGACTGGAAAGCCTCCTCCTTTTCCTGCTTGGGCCTGGTGTGGACACAGAATGGTGCCCGTCATCAAAGTCTCCGCTGACACTGCTGGAAGGGGAGGTAGCTCTTCTTCTCTTGGAACCCATGGAATCCAATTTCTTCTATAAGAGATAAATAGCTATGTTCTTATATTTAAATTCGGACTCTGCCACCAAACTCTCAGCTGACCACCTACCACCAAGCTTCTGGTTCACTAAGAATATTTTTAACTGTTGCAAAGAACTTTACCTAGCTGTAAGTTTTTCTGATGGAAGCCCTGGCCCTCACTGCTTTCTTTACTTTTGACAGGACAAGTGCAGCGAAAAGTGTACTCATTTGTATATTACCAATTTTGAATGATTCAACCACTTCTGGCCCTAAATTTACCCTTGACTATAGTTTCCCAATGGAACTGATCTTTCCATTCCTGAGACAGCCAGAGAAGCTTGGGGGACAGAGACCCCATGCCTGTCACCTATGGAGTTGGTAGCCTCCCCTTCCTTCCCCAGTGTGCCTTACAGTTATGATCATTTTCCAGATGAGCCTTGATGTAGAAAAGGGTAGGAAGCAAAGTCTGGGACATATGAGTAAAAACTATAAAAAGGTAAGGGGACAGAGGACATTTAACCTTCTAGCATTTTAGATGCACTTAAAATTAATATAATGAAAATTATTTTTTTCTATTCATTAAAGATCCATAAGACACATCCATGAAAATCACTTAATGTGACTTGCCTTATGCCATATACAGAAGCAGTAAAACTGCTTTGAAATTCTTCAGTTAGAAGACTGACCTCTTTCTCAGTAATGCTGAGTTACTCTATCCCCACAGATGTTGAAATCAGCTTTACGTCCTGTAGGTGACCTGGACGCACACCCCAAAAGCTAGCTTTCAGGTCCTGCTTGCCCTTCCAGAAACACTTAAATATTTGTGCACTGTGTTCTTCCTAACTGTCCTCTTCCAAATTCCAAAAATAGCTTCAGGAAAAGTGTGTGAAAAAGTGCCAACCACAATTCTGGTATCTGTAATGTGCACCTGAGATTCTAAAGCAAAAAAGGCACTTCAGGAACTTAAGAATATATTATCATAACTACCCTGGCTTGGTTGCTAAAAATAAAATGTATGAGTCTAACACATACAAGGCAGTTTAGCTTTAAAACTATCAGTCTTCTATATATGACTTAAAAAAAAGCCACTAACTTACTATTAAAATAATACATCTTAATTTTATGTGAATTTTACCTAAACCCACCAAATTATAAAGCCAAAATTAATAGAATGAATACTGTTTATTAACGACCCCTATCAATAGCAATACTCAATATCAGAAACTTAACTTATACAAGCAAAATAAATTTATGAGAGATTATTTGTATCAAGTGGGGCAGAATAAGACAAATGGGGCATGTACCGTCTATATTCCATGCTTGGGACTTGGGGTTGAACTTTTCTGTAGCTAAAGTAATGACTATTACAACAAATGCACTGATTACTTACACACATAACTCACTAAGTTATTATAATTATGGGTCCCTTTTCATTTTTATTACAATTTCTCTGTGCTCTCAGCTTGGGGCTGACTGCTGAGTAACTAGTCTTAATGCAACTTTACAAATATATGTATTTGGCTGTAACACAAGAAATGCAACCAAAATTGAAATGATCTACTACAGAGAGAGGGGAAAGAAAGCCCCACAACATTTATACAATTTAGCAATAGATCAGAGAGTACACTGTGATTTCAAGAGGCTTTTTCTGAAGCTAAAGAAAAAAAAACCTCTCATTCTATTTTCATTCACTGACATTCAACTTCTCTTAGACACCAGCAGCTACAAAGAGTGGTTAACAGTAGAGCACTGGTTGTCAGCAGTACAGAGAGAAGTGAGGTCTAACTTTGACGTGGGGATCTCCTGGGAGCAGAAAGCAGGAACAAAACAAACAAAAAATCCTGGTACCGAAACAAAAAACCAAGAAGTGTCTGCTATCTCTTCCTCAGCACTAAAGTCCACATAGTGTTTAAAAACAACCTACCCTGATGCTGCTGTGCTCTAGGCTTAAGCCAGTATGGTATAGTAGTTTGCATGCGGTTGGCTAAAATCTTCAAAGGTCTTAGGTCAAGGACAGACGAGTTTTACTGATCTGTGTTTGTTTTACAGAGGCTGACAAAATGGCTTCAATCCATGAAGACAAACTATGAAGCAACCCTTTGTAAACAAGGACACAGGTGGAATGGGATGAACATGAGGAGGGAATCTTTACTGAAAGGATAACAAAAATTTAAGAAAGGTGGAAGGGAAAAGGCAAGGAAGGACAGAAAAGGGAGAGAGTGTAGATGATCAGTAATTTACCAGCTTTACCAGAGCACAACCAGCGCCTCGAAAAGCCAGTCTCCTCATTATGTCTGAAGGCCAAGTGAAGCCAGTGGGAGAAGGCAGGGCTTTAGAAGTGCTGATTCAGAGTTAGTATATTCAAAACTGAAAGAGAAGAACAAGGCAGAGAAAGGGCAAATAGAAAGGAAGGATCAGAAGGAGTAAAAATGAGTACGAATAGATAGAAAACATTCGAGTAGAACTGCTAAAGAAAGATAACAGAGCTGGGGAAAACAGGCATAGCAGTTCTCCCGTACCTATAAAACTGCTGCAAAAGCTCAGACTAACAAACAGTACCTGACATTTCTTCCACTTTAAATTAAATGCTTTTCATATGCTAAAGGTGCCTTACTGAGAAGGTGCTCACATACCCCTTTGCTCACATCAAACAACTGTCAATTGCAGGAATGAAGCGTGCCTTCCCAATTGCCCCCTAGTCAGTAAGATCAGAGTTCAATCACAAAGCTGCAACGGAGAGTGAACACATGAGCAACTCATGAGAGACTCACATGTGACACAGAGTTTTGGCAAACTGGAACAAAGCGAGAATGGTTCATGTGAGCAAAGAGTCTGGAAAATTCTTCCCCTTCCTCCCCCCCAAAAATTCAAAGAAAGGCGACATTTCTTTCTACAAGTCCTATTAGCACTGGAAAGACACCACCTACCATTTTACCAAGGTTAGAAACAAAAAAAAAGCCTTCAACTATTTTGGTAGGAGTTCAAGATGACTTCTACAAAGGCTAGTGAAAATCAAATTAAAAGAATGTAAATTAGTGGTATGAATATAACAAAAACACAATAACCAAAAATCCTTGAATCATCAAATTACTTTGATAATACAAGAAAAAGGTACAATTTAAGAATAATTTCCAAATATTTTCTTATCTAAAGGATATACTTTAAAATGTATTTTGGAAGTGTGCCAAGAAAGGCGGTGGGGTAAGTTGGAGAAGCAACAGCAGCTGCGTTCAGAAGACTAGAAATGGAGTTGAAGGTCTTCCCCTCAATATTTGATACTGTCTGGTAACAACTTTCCAGACCTTTGAGGATCACCTCCAAAATGACAACAGTAAAGCACACTTATCCTCCTTGGATTACTGTGACAGTGAAATGAAGACTATATACTTTAAATCATCTTGAAACTTCAAGATGAAACAAAAATGCTTAGCTCTAATGCTAAGACTGTATATTTCCTGGACAGGAACTGTATTATATTTATTTTGGCCCCAGACTATCGAATAGTATCTGGTATAGACTGGGTACTCAATTTATCTTTTTTATTACAAATGTAGTTAAGTGGGACCTTAAAAAAAAAAAGTTTATTGATATAGTTTAAAAAGTCTGTGAGCATCCCATTACCAACTCTTTTTCCATGAAGAAATAGATTTTAGAGCTCAATTCCAGTTTTTTAAATGGCTTTAATTATACTCACAAGTCCAAAACCTTGACAACCAATGATTAATTTACAGTGAACAATAAAGAACAACTTTATAATGTGCAGTCTGGGAGGTTATTTACTCAGTGTAGCCAAACAGTGTATTTTGAGAGTCTATAAACTATTCAGCACTCTCCCATATTTTTAGTGATACTTATATTATTGATGCATACTTAAAAAAATCTTAGAGAAACAGAAGGTGCAAAGGAAACAAAAAATCACCCATAATCCTACTTTCAGAGTAAACCATCCTTAATATCAGTGTTCACAGCTTTTGGTATTTATTCTATGCCTTTGTTGTCCCTGAAGGAGTTCTGGTGGTATTAAAGCATTCGGCTGCTAAGTAAAGGTCAGTAGTTCAAACCTACCAGGCGCTGGGCAGGGAGAAACATACATCAGTAATGATTTACAGCCTTGGAAACCCTATGGGGCAGTTCTGGCCTGTTCTATAGGGTTATTATGAGTCAGAATTGACTCAATGACAGTGGGTTTAGCTTTTGCTTTTATTATCTATTACTATTACTATTTTTTTAAAACAAAAGTAATAAACTGTACATTTGTTTCGCAGCATGTGTTTTAACTTAGAGAAAATTCTCCCAAGTCAACATTCTTCCACCTGATGCTTGACAGTTTGACAATAGCTTATCAAATAGATATACTAGTTTATCAATCTTGAGGATTTTGCTAAATTATTAATATTTGAAATATTTTCTAACTCCCAAAGCCAAAGAAAGTGCCCAAGGCCCTTCCATCCATACAAAACACACATTTGTTGCAGTTTTAATCTGAAATACCTCTTCAAAAAGATTTTTCCAATCGTCTGTTTTGGATTTTAAAATACATAATAAAGCAAACACTACACTACTATTTTATATTGAGCCCAGTTTGCTTCCAAATTGTATTTGGGGAAAAGTGCACCACTAAATGGGGCAGGGGAACCCTAAAAATAATTTCTGAGGAGCCCTAGTTTGTTGGATAATAAGTTAAAGTGTTCCAATCCAACATGTTTCCATAACTATAGTAAGAATTTCCAAATCCAATTCTGTGTATGTGTCATCTGCATTTCAGGATTCCTTCTACATTGCTGCCACCTTTTCTTTCCTTTTAAATCACAATGCACTTCATATAATAACCAAAATTATGCTTCTCTTTCAGTTGGATATTTTAAGAAATAATAAAATATTTTAATAATAAAAAACGTATATGGTTCTAAAAATACGATTCTTAGTGATTTTGTAGATTAGATACCGAAATAACACGGATTCTACTATAAATACAAGTCCCATTGACAAAAACGGTCTGAATGGTCATGTGGAGAGCATAAGAAAAAATTTCACTCAGCGTCCGAGCCGGCGGAAAAAAAAAAAAAAAAAAAAGCGGGCCTGACCATCGGAGGAAATGAGGACTTTTCCGACCTGTCACTGACATGCGGGACTAAGAAAACGTTGACAGCTTTTAAGCTGTCCCGCTGCGAGCGCTCGGCCAGCTGCCGGGGGCGGGAAAGAGGGGCCCGGGAGTACCCGGACCGTGGCGCGCCTTTGTCCGGGCCGGCAGGTGCGGCAAAGCTGCGAGGCCGGTCCCGATGCCCCGCGCCCCGCCCCGCGTGCCCGGCCCGACCGGCGCGTCCCCACGGCCGGGGCGGGGCCTCCGCCACTGCTCCCGCCCGCTAGGGCCGACACAAAGGCCCACAGCCGGCCGAGAAGCGGCCCCGCCCGACCCGAGCCCGGTCTTACCCCGCCGCTCCGCCGTCTGCAGCCCCGGCCGCCGACCGCCGCGCCCCGCCCCGTGGCCGCCACGGCTGCTGCTATTGCTCCTCCGGCCGCGGCCGCTGCCGTCGCTACAGCACCCGCCGCCCTCGCCGCCCTCACCCCTCCCGGTGCCGCCGCAAAGCCAGCCCCGCGACCGCCAAGCGATCCCGGTTCCTCGCGACAGTGCATGCGCGCGCACGCGGGTGGTGGCGGAAGCGGCGTGCTTTACGGCAGCAACGTGAATGCTTGATGCTTGGCCTTGGGCTCAGTTCGCACGTGGTGTTGGCGGAGGGAGGTTGTCGTTGCTGCTGCTGTTATCATCCGGGCCGTCAGTATGAAGCGGCCAAGTGAGTGGAGGTGGAGGGCGGGCAGGTGTGGGGTAACCCTTGTATCTGAAGGTCCCCGAATCCCCTAGGACGCGCTTCATCTGCATGGTCTGCGGTGAGGTGCGGGGCAGGCCATCCCCAGTCTTGCATAGAATCGAGGTTTGGAAGGTCTTAGGTCGATATTGGCGATCGGTGGGCTCATTATACGAAAGGAAGCCTGGAGCCCGGGAGTGGAGAAGAACAGGCCAAAGTCTCATGAAAAAACAGTGTCTGAGCCAAATTCAAGCCCAGTCTTATTTCCTTCTGCAGCTATTTGCAAACCCGCTCGTGGGAGAGCTGAGAGCAGCCTCCCAAGCCTAGTCTTGACGGTCTTGCTTTGTGATTGGTGGTGGTTGGTATGAAATGGCTATTTTGAGTCTTAAGTGCTCCCATCTGTGATCCCACTCTTAAGTTGGGAAAGAGTAGCAGGGAACTTGGGCCACGTTCCGTATCTATTGTATCCAATAATCTGGGATTTGAGAGAATGATACATGTATTTTTTAAGTATCCTACATGGTTCTTACAGAGACCACAGTTAAATTATCAAAAAATTAAGCACGCAGATCGTTGGTGTCTAATCCGTTTGTTTCTTCACAGAGTTAAAGAAAGCAAGTAAACGCATGACATGCCATAAGCGGTATAAAATCCAAAAAAAGGTGGGTGTTGGGTTTGGACAAGTTATACCAAATATATTGCTAAACTGGTATCATCTACCCGACCTCCACAGGAAGTCTGGATTAATATGATTGAGCCCTAGGAAGCGGGAGTTGGAGAAACATAAGATCTTAGGCATCAGGAGTACAGTATGGAAAAATGCAGTTTGGTAACAGGTCTATAAACTTTAATTTACATGTTTAATAATCTCTGTAAAGAGAGGTGGAGAAATAGAGCTTGGTGTGGTGATTTTTTGTCTGTCCACCCCCCCCTTAATACATAAGCATGTATGTTCTAAGGATCTCTAGTGGTACAGTGGTTAAGTGCTTGAAAGGTCTGTAGTTCAAATCCACCAGCTGCTCCCAGCAGAAAGATGTGCCAGTTTGCTTTTGTAAACATCCTTAGAAACCATATGGGACAGTTAGACTCTCCTATACGGTCACTATGAGTAGTCATCAAGTCTATGACATTGGCTTTGGTTTCGGGTTTATGTGTGATTGCAATTAAAGCTCTGTTTCTCGAGGTTATGCTACAGATGTGACTAAATTGTAGCTAGAATTGTGTTTTGAGTAAGAAGGTATTTTTGTAAACTCAGGTAATTTTCTAAAATAGGTACGGGAGCATCATCGAAAACTGAGAAAGGAAGCCAAAAAACGGGGTCACAAGAAGCCTAGGAAAGACCCAGGAGTTCCAAACAGTGCTCCCTTTAAGGAGGCTCTTCTTCGGGAAGCTGAGCTAAGAAAACAGCAGGTAAGATGTTACTGAAGTTTTTAATAAATGGAATATGGTGCTTGTGTTAAATAAATCAGGTGAGCAAAAGGGATGCCTTTTGCCTTGCATGTGCACTGGTGAGGTATGAGGAAGACATCTGAACAGTCTGATAGTCAGTGAAGACTGGTAAGATCCAACTCTGACCTTAGCCAGTGCTGGGCAGTGGGAAAGAGGTGTTTACTACAAGGGATTTGACTGGTTTATACTATTCGTTTGATTCAGTACTTAACCACCACTTTTTCAAAGTAAGGTAACAACACCAAGTCACTTTGGCTTACCCATTTTTCTTATGGATTGAACACAGCTTGAAGAACTAAAACGGCAGCAGAAACTTGACAGACAGAAGGAACAGGAAAAGAAAAGAAAACTTGAAACTAAACATGGTGTTGAGCCATTTAATGGGGAACCTGTGAAGGAGGTATGAGTGGGTCTCCTTATGAATGAGAGGTAGAATTCTGATGCAGAAGTTAAAGCATGTACCCATATATTGCTGTACCTCGTAGTGGGTGGAAAGACTGATTCAGACTCTGGCTTAACCTAGTAACACCCATGGAAGATGCAAAAACATGTTGCAATTGCTGTACTTCTAATTTTACATCCTTTCTTTTTGTCTTTGTCATCTAGGAATTTGGGCAAGGCAAAGCAAAGAACAAAGCCAAGTCCAGTAAACAGAATACAAAGAAGTTATATTGTCAAGAACTTAAAAAGGTATATTAGTCTAGGTCAGTGTCTAAAACTGATGAGTTTTAAAAGAGTAGTATTCTTCTTTCCTGACTCTGGCATTAGCCTCATAAAAGGTAGAATTCACTTAAGATGGACGAATCCTTCAGTTTGGCTTATCCCATTTAGGGCCTTTCCTGTTATGTTTAGCTAAAGGGAATATTTTTTATTTATTATTATTTTTTAAATATTTTTTATTTATTATTTTTTTTTAATTTTTACATACATGCATGTGGGGCATTTGTTAACTATAAATGGCACTTTGTGTTAATGTGTTGACACAGTCGTTTTTAGGATTGAAGTACACAAGAGAAAGTAGTATGGAAATAAAGATCTTTAGAATGCTTTGTTGAAACCTAAGTGAAGGAAGTTATGAAGGCAAAAGTGTTTTTGTTCCCTAGTGTAGTTGTTCCCTAGTACTCCTCTTCCTGGCCACCATTCCCTGCCCTCCTTTGTGGGTACATAGACCCTGGCTATGTTTCTTCCGCACCTCTAGGGTCCATCAAACTACATAATACAGTGTGGGAAGATTGTTCTCATATTTCCCAGAAATGTTTCCACTTTTGAAATCCACTTCATGGAGAGACTGGAGGATCCTGAGCAAGCCTGTATGTTTTATTTTCTTGTGTGAGAAATGATGACATATAAACATTCTTCATATCAAAGTGAAGACAATGAGATCCAACTCTGAGCTCACCATGTTGCAAAGTAGATAATGTCAACACATTTCTGTTGAGGGTGTTCCTGGAGCAAAGGATATGATGTTGTTCTGATTGTTTCTGCTTTAACAGGTGATTGAGGCCTCAGATGTTGTGCTAGAAGTATTGGATGCCAGAGATCCTCTTGGTTGCAGGTGTCCCCAGGTAGAGGAGGCCGTTATCCAGAGTGGACAGAAAAAACTGGTACTTGTGTTAAATAAATCAGGTAAGCAAAAGGGATGCCCTTTGCCTTGCATGTGCACTGGTGAGGTATGAGGAAAACATCTGAACAGTCTGATTATCAGTGAAGACTGATAAGATCCAACTCTGACCTCAAAGCTAGTGCTGGGCAGTGGGAAGGGTGAGTTTACTACAAGGGATTCGGCTGGTTTATACTGTTCTTTTGTGATTCAGTACTTACCACCTTGTCTTTTTTAAGATTGTAAGCAGTTTTTCCCAGCTTACTGTGTAATGTATTTCAGAGAAAGCAATGACTGTGCCAAATTCCTGATATCTATACAATATCACACTTTAGTCCCGGAGTTGGATAAATTAGCACCTTTATGACAAAGTATTTAGGTGAAAATGCATATTTTTATATATGGGGTTGAGTGGCAGGACAAGGAAAACCCAGAACAAATGCCTGTGAAGCAGAAAGTAGGAATGGGATCTAGAAATACTGTGGTCAGGAAACAAGATGGCTGCTAGCTGAGGGTGAATTCTAGAAGTATTAGCCATAAGGTTAGTAGGGCTAGAATCTAGGCTTCACCCTGAGAGGATGTGAGCAGTGGCAATTGAGGAAATACAGAAATGTTGATATTGGCCTGTGGTAAGATAAAGGGTAGTGATGGTAGGGAGCTGACCCTACCCTCATCTTCCAATTGAATCCTTAAATAGGAAAGGGCAAACTAGAGCAAATTCATCTCAACAAAATGTTCAAGTTTGGAAATGTGTCTTTTTCCTAATTCCTATCAGATCTGGTGCCAAAGGAGAATTTGGAGAGCTGGCTAAATTATTTGCAGAAAGAATTGCCAGCAGTGGTGTTCAGAGCCTCAACAAACTTGAAGAACAAAGGAAAGCTAATCAAGGTACTCCCTACTGTTAGTGGGGGGAAGTGTGGTTCTTTCAGATTTTTGGACGTTGAAATACGAGTGAACAAAATTTTGAGTTTAAAAAAAAATGAGAAATTACAAGATCCAGCTCAGGTTTCATCTAGAGATAACTGAAAAGCAAGAGAGCATGGTGATTCAGAGCCAGATTGCTTGACTTTATTTGATGAGTTGTCAGTAGTAAACTAATAATTTGGAATCTGGACACAAAGGTAAAGAAGAAAGCTGCTCCATTCAAAAGTGAAGTCTCCTTTGGGAAAGAAGGCCTTATGAAGCTTCTTAGAGGATTTCAGGAGACTTGTGGCAAAGCCATTTGTGTTGGAGTAATTGGTGAGTTTATTTCAGTTCACATTTTATGTAAGTTCTAAGATACTTAGCTAAGAATTTTTCCACATTAAGAATGTAGGATCTTGGACCATAGTCGCAGGGGACATCAAGCTCAATTGGCATAACATACTATACAAAACATTGTTCCACCTACTACTTTGGCGAGTAGCGACTGGGACCTT